AAGATTACGGCTTAAATCAACGGTTACGGCTATTATAAACCAACCCTTAGGCTTTTTGGAGGTAAAGCTCCCCCTTCTCCCGCTACGCAGGAGAGGCGAAACTCACTGCAACCACGCATGTACACCACATACATATGTATGTACATACTTTGCAATGTATATATTTTATAGATATATTTATTTATAATTGAAAGTCAAGTAATGCATTATAAATACAGATATATTTCAAATTCGCACACTTTGCATGCGCGTGTAGCCACGAAGCATGCGCATGTGGCTACGGGGCATGTTCATGTCGCTACTGTCACTAATAACTAGTAGTGACTAGTAGTCGCAACATTTCGTCGGTATGACAAGTTTCATAACCTGAATAGTCATCAACTTTAACGATTAATATTTCGTTTCGCTGGGTAGAGCGGCGCTTATTTCTGCCAAATTTTATCGATATCGAGGTAAGGATTTTAAATTGTACAAGTACCGCTGTTAATTAGGACAAAATCTTGAATTATGGTTTTAAGCATTTGTATGGGTAACCTTTATAAGAAAAAATCAAGTCGATATCTCATCGGGCCTAAGAGATATTGAAGAATCCGTGAAAACATATTTTACCCCTTTTCACCCTGTTAAAGATCGAATTTCTAAAAATTCCTTCTTAGTGGATGCTTACATCATGGAAGGAATATACTCCTCGAATTTCATGTTTCTAGATTTAAGGGTTTGGGCTGGGCGTTGATAACCCAGACACCAAAAATATTTATGAATATTTATGATAAATATTTATAAATATTTTGAAAATTTATATTATAAAGTAAATATTTTATAAAGATTTTTTATAAAGATTTTGGAATAATACAAAAATTATTACTAACAACATATAAAATATATTTTAGAAATGTATTCAAAAATATTTCTTGTATATAAACTGAAAATGTTTTTTGATATCTTTTGGCAATATGATATAAATATTTATTTATGTCATATGTAAACATTTCGATCAATATTAGATATATCTGTGACAAATATTGTAGTATTATTTTTAAAAATATTAAAAATACATTCGATAATATTATACCCAGATAACACTTGTTAATTCATATATGTTTTATATACATATGTTTTCTAAATGTTTTATATATATATGTATATTAGGGTGGTCCGTTTTTTTCGACTTTTAAATTCATTCCCCTCAGAATGTTTCCAATTCGCAAAAAAATAATCTCTACCAAAGCTCAGTTCGATCGGATAACAGAAACCCGTGTCCCCGGATTTTTAAACATTTGAGTTCTTTTGTATTAACTGACGGTTGTATTAAACTTCCATCAACATTGGTTTTTAAAGCGTATTTTCCACAAAAATTGGCCTAAAACACTTTTCTTTTTTTAACATGTGTGTCTTGCTTTTCTGCATCGTTTGAGACCTTATACGTCTCATTTAAACAATTAGGTAAATTGTTAATAACTAAAAAATAAAAATAAATAGTTATTGGATTTATTGCTTGATCAGCTGGAAATAGTATATTGTATATACAACTAGTGGAAAAAGTGGTCGATTCTGAATGAGTGTGAAGTTGGTCGCACGAGCCAAGCGAGTGCGACCATCAACTCATTTGGGCTCGACCACTCTTCCCACGAGTTCTTCATACTATTTTTCCTAACAAGAGCGTGAAACAGGCCGCTTTTCGCGCTTGTTTTACAATTTTATTTCTCCACTAGTTGAAAAATGGCTCCATGTTTCAACGCTTACGTTATTATTGCGAAATGGATCGTTTTGCTCACTCAAAACAAGCGCGAAAAGCGGCCCATTTCACGCTCGCGTTAGGAAAAAATTATGTATGGGCTACAAAAGTTATAGTAGTATGTTTAGAACCAAAAAAAGAACAAAAATTAAAAGATTACTCTATTACTCTATAAAATAATCAGTTGGAAAACTTTAAACGCGCTTTTCTCGAAATTACAATTTTGTAGCTGGGCGCTCGCGTATCTCGGCCAATTTTTATCCGAATGGCTTGAAATTTGGACAGAATGTTTATAACAAAATTGTCTTCAGTTAAACGTACAATTTTTTATTGAACAATTAGTTTTTAAAAAACAATTAAAAAAGTGAAAAAATTTTCGGTTAAATTTCGAATTTTTTTTTAGAATTGCGCCATTTTGTTAAAGATTAATATTTCAAAAAATCCGTACGCTTAACTAAAACTACATTCGTATAGTTCAAAATGACACCAATTTTTTTTATTTTAGACATCCCGTTCTGACGGAACATGAGCGCCCGCGCACCCACAATTTTTTTGCGGAGGTACACGGTATCACACGCTAAAGGCGTAAATATTAATATTTTTCAACGATTTTTTTGCAATATATTCAATATATGTACTTTAAAGAAATAAAAAAACCAATTTCATTAAATTTATTATTTCTCGGAAAAAAAAATTCACGAAAATAGCATTTTTTTTCTGGCCATCACAGTGGTTTCCCCTTTAAGTCTTCTCAGGTCCCCTCCTAAAACACCGAGGGGCTCTCAACTATGTCAGGACACAATAAATGCACTAACTATTTACTTTTATTTTTAGTTATT